TCCATATCCCTCACTCCTATCCTCTTCCTCATCCCTCTCCCCAAAAGAATTTAATACTTAACAAAAACACATCCTGTTAGTATATAGACTCTGTTATTATCTACTACTTGTAACAACTCCAAACTTTTTTGGACTATATTTATATTTGCTTTTGTTTTTATCAGTCAAAAAAAAAAAAAAATCTCAACAGCACTATTTCTCAAGGCACTTTGGTGTCAGGCAATGGTTAACGAGGCTATTCTGATTGACCATTATTACTCTGTAGTGAGTTTGATCCTCACCAGGGGCTCTATACAAAATTTGATATTAAATAATGCAACAAATCTATCAACCAACCAACTGTTTCTCAGTGTATAAAAGTAACAATCTTTCTCTGAAAACCTTGTATTTTACTTATCAAACTCTCCAGGGTAAAAACAAGCAACTGCATATATATTTCAAAAACTGGTTAAAAAAACAAACAAACAAAAGAACAATATTGTTTGCTCACATAATCTTAAATTCAAGTCTAAATGATAACATTTCTCTTTTTGTATTTTTATTTTTCCTTTTCTTCAGTTTCTTTTCTATTCAGACTTTTAACCTGTTGTTTTTATTTTTTTTTTTAACTAGAAACTCCTTTACCATAAAATAGTAATTTGAAAAAGTAATTTCTGTTCTGATATTTTATATCCAAATTAGAGTGCATCAAATACATTCATTTAACAATTTTTTTAGTTTTTTCCTAATCAAATTATCATTATTAATAATTATATTTTATCTCTGATTGATCACTTTTTTGCTAGTTATTTGACCCTAACCCTTGATCAACATTGGACCAAGGAAAAAAAAATCAGTCAATTTCCATTCTCAGTACTTGTTTGCCACTAATGTTTACACAGCTGACACCATCTTAGGATGCATGTTAAAATTTACTGATCAACATTTCATGTTAAAAACGGCACCAAAGATAATTAAATTCATTTATTTAACACAGACTAAAATAAAGTTTCTCTCGAACTAATTTTACAGGTAAAAGGAAGATAAATTTGAGGTTAGTGAATGAAAAAAAACAAATTCTCATTTTATATGCATTTTATAAAAATTCTCAAATGATGTTATATACCAAAATGTAAACTTGCAGACCATTTTGGTTTTTCATTAGCTTAGCCAGATTCAGAGGAGTTTTCAATTTAGTTCATGTTTGTGAATATTTGAATAATTTTGTTTGTGCTTTCATGTTTTTCTTTTATTGTTAGTGGTAGGAAATACAAATGGCTGACCCTTACAAATGTAACTGTTCCATTCTTTTACTGTTTTATCCCATAGATACAAACTTCCATTAATACAGATATGTTGCCTTCTCTCAAGTAGGCTCTTAAAATATGTACTTTATCTATATGGTAGCAGTAGTGTAGTATTAGTAGTGGGATTGATTTTAGTAAGAAACATTAACTTTAATGGAATAATAGCTTATTTAAATTTTCATATATATAAAGGTGTTTATAAAATGTATATCGTTTCACTAAAAAGTTCTCTTTTGTTTATTATTATTGCTGATACATTATATAGAGTATTCAGTCTTGCCATGGCATAAACATATCACTAAATTAAAAATATTGCCCTTTTCAAATTTTCTGTCATTTTCAACAATTCTTTGTTGCCTCTTAATTTCAATAAAGAAAAATATTGTTTATTTAATATTAAGAAATACAGTAAAAGTAGATACACTTTTTCAGTAGATTCAAATATACTGTGATGAAAAAACTAGAATATATATATATATATATATATATATATATATATATATATACACACACACATTAAATGTAATATTCCTCCACTTAAAATGAAAAATTTTCCTTAACCCTCTACACAAATATGTAAAATTTTTCTCTTCAAGTCCTTTATCTTTTGAACTGTCTTTGAAAATGTTCAGCATCCAACCTGATAGTGGGGAATAAAAATTTGAATCTTGACTTTTCTTATCAGGGTACATTCAGATTTTTAGATTAATGTTAAATGACTTGCATTAAAATTGAAATGTCATTAATATCAGAAATGCTAAGTTATATGATTTTTTTTTTTAATTTGAAATTTTATTTTTTAAAAAGAATACTAAAATTTCAATTTTTTTGTTTAAATTGTTACAGCGTAGTATAAACTCCAGTATTATCTATGGATCAGTATATCTGCCTGAATTATGAAACTGTTGTCTATACACATGGTTCACATTAGCAGCATTATTTTAAAACGGTGATATTGATTATTGTTTAAAAATTATTCCATACTTAATGAATTACTGAACATTAGTGATTCCATTTTAGAAAAATCATAAGTAATTTTATTATTTAACTTTAATTCTTTATTCCATATTGTGTATGTCTAAAAGTAAAAAAAAAAGAAAAACCTTTCTATTCTTATAATTAGTTCTTTTTTCTGCCTTATCAAAAATGATTTTCTACCTTATCAAAAATGATTATTTTCTACCTTATCAGTTTTATTATTCAAAAATGTATTGGCTCTGAGAATTTGTTAAAAAAAAATCAAGCAAAAAAGAAATAATTTACAACATGTAAAGTTATTTGAAATAATGCATCAGATTAATTTGAAAGATGATAGTTTTGATTGGGGAATTAAATGAGTCATAATAATTGCCTCTTTCACATTCTACTAAATATACCTTGTCCGTTGGCTTTATTGAGCCAGTATTTCATTTGAAAAATACCAAAAACTCTAATTCTAAATAGACATTTATATATTATTATATATGAAACTTATTTTAGCTTCAGTCTTTCTGTTGTGATTCTTTCACCTATGAAAAGAATGTGTGGGTGGCGTAATGGATAGCAGCTCAGAATGAGAAATCAAAGAACTGAGTTCAAATACCAACAAGGTTCGTTGCATTCACTTATGCACAAATAACTTTGGGAAAGGTATGAATCCCTCTCCTCCCCCCAGCTATGGATTGTCTGGAAAAAATTAGTTACTCTCAAAAAATTATTCTTACAATCCAAAATATGTTTTTGCTTTAAGTAACCCACAAAGGGTTGATAAGCCATAAAAAATAAATCAGTCATTTATGAGAGTTGGGGTTAGCTGTGTATTTTTTTTTTTTTTTTTTCTTTGGTTCCTTCTAAAATCTTTTCATTCTCTTTCACTCGTAATTGATCACCCAATACAAGGACCAAGAGCCTTTCAAGGTAGAGGATTACTGAATGAAGTTGTGTGAATGTAAGAGGCTGAAGCAAGAAGTGCAGATTATGGGGAGCTTACCCTAGACTTGAAGAGGTTAGATTGGAGTGATCTGGGAAGGTTCCACTCGGGAGTCTGTTCCACAAAATAATAGTTCTTGGGAATACACGATCCAAATGGAATTTTGTTATTACTAATGGAATACAAAGGAATGCAGATGATTTGTTTCAGTGTACATGGTATAGTGAGTCATAGCTGTAAAGATCTTCACTTTTGAAACTAATGGATGGAGCTCATTAAAGCATTTGCCATAGAAATAACGATAGTCATGAGATGTGTAAATATACAAGGTTTTTAAAATTTTTACTTCAATGTTTCTTAGTCAATTTTATTTTTTATGTCTTAAGTTGTCATAATCTATTGCATTCGATGTTTAACAAACTGGTAGATGACGTTAAAAAAAAACTAGAGGAAGCAAAATTATGGTTCTACAGAAGGATACTGAAGATTCCATGGGCAGAGTGGGTAAGCAACAAGGAAATAAAATGCCAACAGAAGGAACATTTATAATCGGAATCAGGAAGAGGCAGCTGAAATTCCTTGGACCTATAATGAGGAAGGAAAGCCTGGAAAACTTAACCCTCACAGGGCATAGCAAGAGAGACAGGGGAAGGGAGCAAGCCACTTACCTGACAATGGTGGAACTGGGGCAGGGGAGTTGCATTGGTAAAGGGAGAAAACTGCTAAGAGCCACACGAGATAGGAAGTTGTGGAGAGCCATGATCGCCAATCTCCTGATTGGCAGACCACGCTGAGTACTTCATTTGTGAGTAAAACAAGGGTTACTTGGTGGCACCCATCTCCTCTCTAAATAACATGCGACAGGTTGTACTGGATTATACAATACTATTGACAGGGAATAATTGCTGACTCAAACTATTGGAAGATGAGTTTAATATGAATACAAACTGCCTTAGCTGTCCTGGGTAAGACAATAAACTAAGTCCAGCAGCAAGGCCTCTGATCAGGAGGTTTTGAGGAGCGTGGAACCACCTCTTAATTGCTGGTGTTCCCAGGTCTACCTTGACCCGGAGTGGTAGCAGCTGTTAGGGTCCCAGCTATAGGAAAGTAGTTGACCCCACAACCTGACTCAAAACACTATGAAAGTGTAAAAATAGATTTTAATACCAGAAATACTTTTTAAAAAAATTAATATCAGCAATAAATATTTGAAAAAAGAAAATATTACCAGAAATAAAAATCTTCTCAGCATTAACCATTAAGGTTAATATGCCACAAAACAAACCAAACTATACATTTTTTAAAAAAAATATTACCAGCTATACATTTTTGAAAAAAAAGGAAATTTTGTTGGCATTAAATAACCCATTGTGGTTGATATGCCGTAAAACAAAACAAATCAAACCAAACCAAACTGCCTTAGTTGGAATTTGAACCTGTTTTTGCTTTTTCTTTTTTTCATGCTGAAAACCATTAAGCCAACATTACACTTCAGGATTACTCAGGTCCAGGTGAAAAACATTAAATTACTAGCAGGCAACTTAAAAACAGCAGACGCACAACTTACACATAACCACAAAAGTGTAGGTCTTAGATGTTCCTCAGTTTTAAAATTAAAAAGAAAAAAATAAATGATAGCTCATCTCAATTAATAAGGTCTCTTATCTTATAGGCTTATATCTTTGTTACTTTTTATTTATTTTTTTGCTTCTCATTTTTCTTGTTTAATTGTGGTAGGCAGATTTTGGTGTCATAACCTTTCAGACATTATCTTTCTTTTTAATTCTGTTCTACCCTATCCCCAGGTTCCTCATTTCTGGCAGCAGCATGGCACAGCTCTCCCCAGAGAGTGCTTCGTCATCAGTCTGCTCTTCATATGAAGAGCATGGCTCAATGATGGCCACCCCTACTCGGAGGGGGTCCTGGAGGCAAGCCATTTTTAATAGAGTAGTTACACCTGCTGATAATTCTCAGACTTGTAAGTATATCTGTTTATCTACAAAACTATTTCATAAATATTGTTCTTTTTTTCATGTGTAATGTTGTGGATGAACTGATATGTATTTTCATAAAAATTTCTTGAAGTCATACAAAGGTTTGAGATCTTTTAAAAAGTTATTTCAATACCATCAGCAATATTATATATCTGTTATTTGCCAGAGATTCCTGCTGATGTGAGAAATTTTTCTTGAAACTTTTAGATGTCAATTGGTCACTAACTTATAACCATTCTAAAGTGAATTTATTAAGTTTGTAAAATTTTCATCAGTTATATGGTTCAAAATATCATTAATGGGAAAGAACAAAAATAGCATTTATTTAACTAACTCATAAAGCAATTATTATGAATTTGAAAAAATTCCATAAGTTTTCTTTAATTTGCTTATGTTCTAAACAAAATCCAACAAAAGAATCTTCATGTATTCAATATTTATTGAGTTTTGTGTGTGATGTTATATATACAAATAAAAACAAAAGGAAAATTTATCTTAGCCAACCTGTTTCTTCCTATGATGGTTTTTCCTTTTGTCTTTATTCATATTGTCCTTTTAGAGATATATTTTTTAGTTATATCTGAAATTTTACACACGTACAGACACACACACATATATATATATATATATATATATATATATATATTTCTTATTGCGATAAACCTTTTATTTAGTGAGTATGCATGTTTGAGCAGACATCTGCATTTGAAACAGTGTAATTCAACATTTGAGTTTTAATAAAGAAAATGAGTTCAAACCTGCATCCCCCTAATGTTGGGAAAACCACTTGTGTCAAGTGTGCTTTACACCGCTCAGCCACAAAAAGCATCACAGCAAAGCAATGTTCAATTAACTTTTTAAAGAAATACGTATTTCTTGTTGGGACATTTCATAGCCTATATCTGCTAAATTTATTTTCATGTCTGAAACATAAACAAAGCAATTTCCAAGGAATTAATGAATCTTAATTATAATCTGACATTGTTATTACTATAAATTACCTACTAAATATAATGTTTATTGTAATAAGAACTAATTTTGGATTTTAAATTAAATTCATTCATTCTTTAGAAATTTTATGAATATATATATATATTTCTCCTTACTATAAATGTTGTTTATAGTGGGTAGATATTTTAGTTGCTACCCCAGTTTTTTTCTTTATTTTCTTAAACAGTGAAATTAATAATAACCATCCTAGATTGAGAAGCAATAATGGAAAAGGGGATACAGGTTCGATTCCTGTTGGAGGCACACACTTTCAATATAGACTGGTTGTTATTAATTTCACAGTTTAAGAAAAAAAATAAAATAACAGGGATAGCAAGTCAAACATATGTCCCCACTAAAAAGTAACATTTATAGTAATAAGAAATTATGTTGGATAAAAAATTCCTTTAAAAAAAAACAAAAAAAAACAAATATTTCTCATTACTATAAACCTTATTTTTAGTGGGTACATATGTTTGAGTTGCTATCTCAATTTTTTATTTTCTTAAACAAAGAAATTTTAAATACCACCAATTAAAAAAAAAAGAAGATATATTAAATGATCAATATTTTAATGAGAATCCAACAGAATGTTAAGTATATAGACAATATATATATAAGTATATATATATATATATATATAATATATATAAGTATATAGACAATTTAGGAAAAGTCTATTTCACCAATAAATCGCTGTCATCAGAAAATTAATTTTATTTCCAAATTTTTTGTTTTATTTCATTAATGTAGATTTTGTTAAAAATAAAAGAAATTCTAATGGCACCAATTCATTGGTGAAATATGTCAGAATAGAAGTTTTACAAATTGTTTACATTATTTATATATATATATATATATATATATATGTGTGTGTGTGTTAATAAGGCTAAATGCACTTATTTTACACAATTATTTTTATCAACATAATATGCTTTCTTTTCAATGCATTTAACCCAATGCTTCTCCATTAATCACAGATTCAACATTATATAGTGAAAGTTTCAAATCAAATGTCTTGTTGACTTATTCTTATATATGCACACATTTATTTAGTAGAATAAAATTATTTTATGTCGAATTTTGTAAGATTGTAAAACTATGGAAGTGGATTTTACTCAGTTTTGCTATTGTATGAGACATGAATTAAATGGAAAAAATCCTTATCATATCCGAGTGTTACTCTGGATATAATGCCTTCATATTATGGTAAGATGAAACTCCAAAGCCTTAAGATGTACAGTTAAATCAGGATGAATTTCTGGTATTAAAAGACCAACAATTTCCCTTTCATGCATTCTTATAATCTGGTAAACTTAATTTTCATATTGATTCTTTGCAATAAAATTCATTATCATATACAAATGCTTTTTATAAACAAATGTTTTTTTTTTTTTTTCTTTTTCTTTTTTTTTTTTTTCTTTTTTTTTTTAATTTTTTCATTTTTGAATGCACTTCAAGTTTATTTTATTACATTGTTAGGGTGTGTGGTGTGATTATTAAAGTTTTAAAAAATACCCATAATATTTTAAATGCAAACAATTTTAAATATATTAGTAATATTATTATCTTGAATTATCATTATCATCATTGTTATAATAATAATATGAAATGTGGTTAATTATTATAACCTTATTTGATAATCTATAATCCCACCGTCAATTGACTCAGAAATATATCTCATGATTCATTTGTAAAACTGAGGCTATCTACTAAGCTAATGTTTACCCAGACACAACAGTAATTGTATCCTGCTTAATTCTATAATATATTATGAAATGCAAATGATGAAGGTGGTATGAGATGTCATTAAATGTACTAAATTTTTATTAATATTTCTTCATTTATTTTTTTTTTTTTCATCACAAATCAGACTACTTCTTTAGAGCTATTAGTGTGAATTGTAAGATTCCTGTTCAATAAGACCATTTTAAATTTCACTGTATGTACTGTATTGTTTTCTTTTCTACAGATTTTTCAGTGTATATTTTGTTGGGCCACATATGTTTTATATCACTAGTGATCAATGTTTGAATCTAAAAAAAAAAAAAAAAAAAGCAGGACTTTGACTGCTGATTTACAAGGCAGGCAGTCAAGCCCTTTTCCTTTTGCCAGATTAAGCAATGTTTATTAGATATAAAGAAAGTTAATTCATTTAATTAAAGAAACTATCTATGCTGTCTGTAAACAAGTTGCCAGAATGGAAACATACTGGGTGTGATATATAAATCGTCCTCTAAATTACACAAAAATGAAAATAACACTGACATCTCAGTTTAACAGATATATATTTACTAAAATTACACAAAAATATCTTGAAATACTAAAGTATTCAATAAAATAGCCATTGGCTTCAACCATGGCCTCCAGACAAATGAATGGAGGCATAATGTCAGCATCACTAGTGATCACGCCAAACACCATGATGTTGACTGGATATATCATCCAACTCTTTTTAAATCCTCTGCACTGTCTTCAGATTGACACCCAAACCTTCTGAAATGTTTGTATTGTAGCTTCCGACATGAAGGCCAAGCAGTACAGCATGCCTTTTTCCAAAATTTTGGTGGAGTGAATTGTCTGATGGTGCTGTTTTCCTTACAGACAGTGCCTACTATAATGTGCAGTGACAAAATCAAAAACAAACAATGCACAAAATTAAAAATATCAAATAGCGACAATTTACCCATCGTATCATTCCTCTCCCTCTCTCTCTCTCCATATATATATATATATATATATATATATATATATATATATATATATATATATATATATATATATATATATATATATATATGAAGAAAATATACTGAAAACACAAAAAAAATCCTAATATATGCGATTATGCTGTTTTAATGTTTAATGTCAACGTCGGACGTTTCGGTCTAATAGATCATCTTCAGGACATATTCATAAAACACAGGAACCACAACAGAATGCAGAAAGTACTGGATGCCTGTTTCATTCTATTTTTGGGACACATCAGCAGTGTGCATCCAATACCGAGAATCAAACAAGCGTCATACTCACTGGACCAACAGGTCTCTGTGACAGAGAGGTAACAAACCAGACTCGATATAGCACCAGCTCTTCGCATACTTCTTTATATGTTGGTATAAATAGACTCTGAGTCACCCAACAGAATTTGTGAAGAGCTGGCGCTATATCTAGTCTGGTTTGTTACCTTTCTGTCACCAAGACTTGTTGGTCCAGTGGGTATGACACTTGTCATATCATAACGGTCTGAGTTTGATTCTTGGTAGTGGATGTGCATTGCTAATGAGTCCCAAAAATAGGATTAAACAGGTGTCCAGTGCTTTCTGCATTCTGTTGAGGATTCTTCTAGACTCGATGAATTAATTATGATTATTCAAATCCCCCTTTATATATATATATATATATATATATGCAAAAAGAAAACTATTCTTTACCAATGCATTTCATCCCTCTCCTGATGGACTTTATGAAGGTAAATGTAAGAATTTTATACTGCAACATGTATTTATAAACAGAAGCAAAGTAAATATTTGCTTTGCTAAAGTCCATCAGAGAATGAAGCATGTTTTTTTAGTAATAGTTTTCCTTTTGTTTTTATTCATATTGTCTTTTTACAGTTATAGTTTTTTTTATTTATATCTGAATTTTTATACACACGCACACACATATATTGTGGAACCGACTCCAAAGTGGATGCTTCCTTGATCACTACAACCTTGGCCTCTTCAAATCTAGGGTCAACCATTATCTTCCCAACATATCCCCATAAACTGCCAGATTAAACATTGGTCTGTTAATGATAATCTATATAGTTTCTCTACTTGATTTTTATGTTTTTAAGTTTTTATAAGATAACAAGTATTAAGTTTTTAAATGCATATCTAGAATATGAGATCAGGTAAAAAATAATGATTGAATTTTTCATTATTCTTTAACTTTTTAATTTTTATTATTATTATTATTATTATTGAAATTTTTATAATTTAAAAATTTT